CCAACATTTCATAATTATATCTCATTACTTTTATATTTCTAAGGATGAAATTGTAAGTAAAACTGAAGTTTTCAAATGTGCACCAGTAAAATCCATATCTACAGGAATATAGTAACTCATCTCAATTTATTCAAAAGGGATTGCTTTTGTATTTGGCACCGTACTAGATGCTATACTAGAGTACAAATAAAATGTTGACATTTCATTAATCTGTTATACATTTGTAATGTTTAGAACCACTTTTAATTCTTCTAGTCAAGAAATTTTTAAAGATTTCTCAGATTTATTTCACTTCTTAATGTTTTAGTGTATTATCATTATACATAATAGTGGGGTTCATTGTGACATATTCATATATGCACTTAACAAGTTTCATATTGAAACTTGCTCCATTTCAATCCCCAGTACCTTCCCTTTCCTCCTCCTCTTTCCTTCTCTCATTCCCTTTCCTCTACTCTTTTTATCTTCATTCTATTTCTTTACATATATATTTTGTTTTCATTGGTGCATTATAGTTATACATAAATGCAGGTTTCATTTTGGTATATTCATGCACACTTATAGGATGATTTGGTTCATTTTATTCCCCAATTCTCCCCTTTCACTCCCCCCCTCCCCTTTGATCTTCTACCTCTCCTCAACTGATCTCCCTTCTATTTTTATGAGATCACCCCTTTTCTTTTCAATGCCTTTTTTCTCTAGCTTTTGCACATGCGGAGGAACACTTGACCCTTGACTTTCTGAGTCTCAGACATACTTTAGAAGGAATATCTCAGCAGTGTGGCTAGGAGGTATCACATGCACACTCACATAGAACACCCTTGTAAAAAGAGCTTTTAAAAGTACCAAGCTAATGCAAACTGAATGATACTCAAAAGCAAACAGTCCAGAATAACATTTAAAAAATGAATTCCTGCTCTGCCCCATCATCTCAGGGAATGAATTTTTGACATTGCAAATGTGATTGTGTGTTCTCTGTTGCTAGCAAGGTGGCATGTGATAAATAAGTCGTTTGCTAAAATGAATAGCAGTTTTTCAGAGATTGCCAGTATCAGAAACCACTAAACGAAATCCCTGAAAACTTTCTCATCAGCTAGTGGGTGTTACCAGAATGTACGTTTAATTGTAACTTGTAAAGTATTTGTTCTCAGGGCATTAATATGACTTATCTGTATTGTTCTGTCATTTGAGCAACGGGAGGGTGTTTTGGAAGAAAAGGTAGGATGACAAATGAAAATCCACCAAGTGGAATCAGTATGCATATTGTCTCTGAGTCACCATGCCCTTGGCTGGGCTCTGGCAAACGAGTTTTACTCATCTTTGTGGGCGAAGCACAATAAACAAGGACTGTAACATCTAGAGTTTCCAAGTCAGCAGCTGGGAAATAGTAAAATGACTCAAATGCCAACACGTGTTCCTGAAACACCCTGACAGCATAAATAACAGGGAGCAAGATTTTCCACTTAGATGTTTTAAGTTCACTCCAAACTTCTGACTCGAACATTTTCTTTGTGATAATGCCGTCTTTCAGAAGAATACTTTAGAAATCTTTTGAGTTCGTGATTTAAGCAGTGCCACTTACATGTTGTTGAGCCAGAAATATTTTTCTTTTCCCTCAGTGTGAAATACGAAAATTGCTTTTCTTCAGACAGAACTTTATATTGTAGACTTTTGTTTTTTTAAAAAAGTTAAAGAACCAAAGTTCCCCATAGCCTTCTATAGTTTTTCAGTAAATATTTATTGAACCCAATTATGTGGAAAGCACTATCCTAGACATTATGGAAATTCACAAATAAAACATGGCTCCTGTTCTTAAAAGATTCACAATTTAGCTAGAGACAAAACATTTATGCACTTAGAGAAATAGATAATTCTATAGAATTAATACAACTACTTCTAGAGGAAATTGTTTTCATTTAATTCATTTGTTATCTTCTTTTATGAAATTACTTAGTGACTCCTTTGTTTATTTTTTAAAACTATTGTGATTTTTTAAATTAAAACAACCCCACAGACATCAGATGGTCTTTACTATGTTTAAAATAGAGCTCACAATATTGTTTTCTGAAAAATGCTTCCTCACCTAGAACAAACTAGATTTCTTTTATTCCCCTTTTTAGAACTTCATTTTTTTCCTAACATTTTTCTATTCATTAAACGAATATTTGTTTTCTATTTTTTAAAAAAGATTGCTGCTTATCATATAATTGCTGGTATGCTACTTTGGGTCTCCTTATTTAAAAAAGAGAGAAAACTTGGAGTTTATATGCAGAATGAGTTTTTGGAAATACACTCTGTCATGCCAAATTAGTAATTTTATAGACCTTCAAAATAAAATTTTATTAAGCTATTTCATAGTCACATAAAGGAAGAAGGATACCAATTTAAATAAGACTGACCATTACATGTGTTAATACACAGACATTAAGGCAGCTGTTTCTGAAAATGACTATTATTTAGTGGTTATTTTGTTCCTTTTTTGAATTGTAATGAAACTATTTAATCCCACACTCTAATGACTAATCTGTGGGGTATATAGTGATTTACATTTCATCAAAATTAGCTTTGCCAAAAAAACAAACTTTTTTTTTTTAAGAAACAAAGTTGTTTTCTTTTGTTCTCCCCTTCATAGCAGCTACATATACTTACTAAATGCTGGCTTTAAAAAATTATTATCAATTTTTTTATATAAAAAATTTCAGTATCTCCCTGAAAGTCTTGTTTTTTTTTTTCCTGTTTTCCCATGTTGAAAGAGACACACATATATAAGATATTGATTATGACTTTGGCTTCTTGTTTCTGGATATGCTGCCAATATATACTATGCCATCCTAGGCCCAGCCCAGGATGAAGGTACATCTCTTTCAGAGCAGAGCTCAGAGACCCACTCAGTGCTGAGTTACTCCAGGAACTCAGGAATTCCCTTGAGGTTTTTACCTCTGTAGGATCAAGGGGAGACTTGCTTCTCTGAATTCCTCAGTGCTAATGTCTGATGAGCCTGAGACTCTGCCCAAGATAAAACACCAGCTTGACCTCCAACACAAAGCCAGCATTTTCAGACACACACAAGGGCAGGCCCTTTATATTGCACTTTGTAATAATGTAGATGAATAAAGTGGCAAGCATTAAACATATTCTATAAATAATAATGCTAGCATTTACTGAGTGCTTACTATAGACTGTTTTAAGTGGTACTGTGATTCACATATAGATAAACTCACCCACAAAATCCAGCAATACAAATGTCTGCTGCTCATACTCTGTTCTTCAAAACCTATGAAATTAACTTCCTAAAGTTTGTACAAATTAATTCCATAACATATGGGGGTAGTGTACTCACCTTCATGTTGTTCTGGAAATATTGTCGTAATCTTTCAGCCAGAGTAAAGGTAGTAATTATTATCCCATATTCAAACATGATTGTAAATCTGTTCCCTTGGGTAAGTTTCTTCACCCAAGTCTAAAGCCACATTAAACTTTATATACCAGTTTTACTTATTTCACAAAGCAAATTTTATTTTTCTTGTATTGATAACTATTAGAGAGAAAAAGGAAAAAAATCTATATTTTGTAGTCCAAGTCTTGTCATCAAACTCAACAAAGTTAAGTTTTTCTCTTGATAGAAATCAATTCATGTGCTGCAGTCTGTGGTTAAACAAAAAAAAAAAAAAATTTTTTTTTTTGATCTTGTTCAGAGTCAGCCCTTAGGGTTTTGCAAGTAGGTGTCATTGTGTGTGACGTCTCCTACTGTGAAAATCAACTTGCATTTGAATGTGCATCTTGACCCATAAATGTCACTGTGGTCCACTGAGCATTTGACTTCAACATTTCCTGTTGTAAAATGGACAATGAGAAACAATATTTTTTTTCTCGCAAAGGGGGCTGGCAACAGAGCATGTGTATAGGTCCCCATGAGTGTGTGTCGCACTGACAGGAGAAACTGCAACACTCAGGGCTTAAGTGCCTGTCTCTAGCTATTGAACAAGATGACACAGGCAACAAAGTTTTGAACGGCTTTTTGAAAAAAAACTTCCAGATTATCCTTTCTGTTTCCAATTCACTTGTCCCTTTCATAGGATTGCATTTATCTTGGATACCCTTGGTCTCTGGCTTAACAATTTGCCTCAAAGTGAGGAGTTATCAAATTCTTTTTTCCATTCCCTTTGCTGCTTTCTCTTCCCCTCTGCTTGGCACACATGAACTTTATGTATCTTTAAATTCACTATTATACTCCATGGAATGGTAGGGCCATGTCGAGTGAATGATTCAATAAAAGCATGCACAAACAATTCTACTCCAACACGCATTATTCCTGGTGTAAACATCTAGCATTTCTATTTAGAAATCTGGTTCCCAACAATTTATTGTGAAGAATCTCAGCATTGTATACCAATATTTTAGATACAGCAAAGTCATCTGAAAATGAGAACACAGAGCTGTTTTAAAAAATCTAATTTCTAACAGGGCCTGTTTATATCCAATTAAATTTGATTTATTAGTATCATTATCATTTGGCTTGAAATCTGGAAGAAGTATTTAACCCAACTGGAAATATTATCCAACTTGGAGAAGCCATACATGTCAAGATAGTTTACCTGCTGGATCTTCAAGTCAAAGGGCACAGAAAGGAAACTGGCATTTATTGAGGACAGATTCTGTACATAGGTATGTTCCTTATATCTAGAGTTTCCTTGACAATATTTAGGATTCTGATGAAGTAAGGTTAGCAGGGAACAAAGAGGGTACCAGTAGAACACATTGGTGACTTTAAACTGGTGAACAATCCAGTTTGTCGTGAAAATAAGTCATAGCCCTCTACTGTATTTAATAATTGATCTTTGGAACATCCTTACAGCCTTTGACCAAATAATGGGCAAAAGAGAAGAGGGGGGTAAAATCACAAAATGATTGATAAGCACTCTTCATAGTAAATGTTTGATAGACTGAAAAAATAAATAAAACTGGCTAAGATGTGCTTTTTTTTTTTTTCTTATCCATAGCGGTCTCTGAGGACAATTAAGAATACATTCTGCTACAACACCAAGGCAAACTTAGATGGCAAATTTATGCATCCCCACATATGAGCACTGAAAGTCAAGATAAAAGTTATTAGTAAAAGAAAGGAGTAAAGACGGATTTGGATGGTGAGGCGGGTTCGATTGCCTTCAGAAAGATTGCCACGTGCATATTGGACATGTCAATCTGAAATAAAATGTGATTCCCAGGCACCCAAAATGGTAACAGAGTCTAGTTGATGGGGCTCATTAAAGCTGTTTGAAACATCTGCTTTCCCTGTTCAAAGGACTAAAATTCAGGGACTGATGTTGGTCATTCACAGAAAGGGCAGGCCTGTGAGCATTCAAGAACCAGCAGAAAAGAGACAGGAGCGCATGCACGTGCGCACATACACACCCGCAGCAGGATTTTTGGCAGTTTCTCACACGAGGAATTAGACATCAAGATGTTCTGTGGTCTTAAATCACTCAAACCGGGGCCATCTACTTTGGGGGGGGGGGCGGAAAAAACTCTGTCGTATCACCGCCAATAACCGTTGTCACTGCATCTTGTCAAAGCAAAGGCCATTTGTTTCAGGAAGAAGAGCCTGGAATATATAACGGAGGTAGGCAAGGATTTTTTTTTAATGGAAATATAAGCCTTTAAATAAATAATTGTCTTTTCTGAACACTTTAAAAAAAACATATGTATAAAAAATCATACTGAAAAAATTTATACTCAACGAAATTGTGACATTCACTCATCTAAAAAGCTTTGCTCATTCAAACCAGAGAGATTAATCACAGAAAGGAGATAAAAAAAAAGTTCCCTCAAAGAGAAGGGAAATAATTTAGCAGTAAATCATAGAGCTGGGCCAACATGAATCACAGAAAAAGGTACCAGCTCCTATGATTTAGGTGACATATAAAAAATAGCCCTTCGTGGATTGACAGTTATAGGTATAAATGATAAAATTATTCAGCAGGGGTATGTTCTTTTCTTGCCATTTGTCATTTTGCATCTGATTACTTCTAAGAATTTAATTAAAGGGGCAACAGAACCATATAGACCTTTTGTGACTCTAACAATCAGATACCTTTTTAAACCTTTTTAAAGAAAAAATATGACTGTTGTATCCTTTCTGTTTTGTTGTTGTTTTTCTTTATGCCACTTTAGGCTTGCTAGAAAAATTTAATAAGGAAGCATTAAGAATTAAATGCAAAGTCAGCCATTGCAGTTATTAGCAGAAAAAAAAATATTTTAATTTAAGCATACACTGAGAGACAATGAATAAAACAGCTGCAAAAATGATTTTGTCAAAATCGGCTAAATAGGTTTTATTTCTGAACTAAAAGATCATTGCACTTTTCTTCTCGGGCTCCCTAGCTCAATGGAATGTAAATAAGCTAATGTGTGATTGTGTGTGTGTGTGTGTGTGTGTGTGTGTATGTGTGCAGTTACACACAAGTCCTAACATTTCATATCAGCATTATTTTTCTATGGAAGAGATATAAATCAAAACCAAGTGCTTAATGTAGACAGTAAAGGACTTCTTGTATAAGTGCATGTGAAATGCAGTTTTAAGAGAAGGGCCCCCTTTTATGTGAATCATGCTTGATTTAACATCCCTAAATGGGAGGATTTTATTTTTCTCATACTGTGTATTGTAGTGGTATGGTAAGTTTTATAAAAATAAATCCTCCAGTAATGTCTTAACCATGAAAATTCTTGCATAGAAAATAAGTCTCAAGAACTATTATGACCATTATACAACATGCCCAACCAATTCATTTTTAAAAAATACACCTGTGCATGTAGTTTTATTTGCAATTAAGGACAGTTAATACTAGAAATCCAATTCATAGTCACTTTAAAGTTTTTCTTCCAAACAACTTCAGTGTTTTAACTGACTAAATTAAGGCTTTTCTATGTTTCCCCCCATCTCCCAGAGCAGAAATTAAATCAGTTTTAATTTATTTTATTTGCTAACACTGTGGATATAATTATTGCTGCCGAGTCTTTTTAATTGTTTTCAACTAGGTGCTTGTCTTTAAGTTGCAATAGACTTCTAATTCCACATTGTTGATATTCCCTGGTTAATTCTGACAAAGCATCATAAATCCAGGTATTTAGGTTTATTGAATTTTGAAATGAGGTGATTAGTTGGCGCATGGATGAATGAATTGATGCAAAGCAAAATGAATTTTATGATTTACTATGGTTTACAAGTTCCCTTGGAACCATTATGTGCAAATTGTAAAATGTATTAAGAGGTAAGATATCACATTTATAATCAACTTGGCAAATTTTGCTCAAGTAAAGATATTCAAGCATTCTGCAAAAGAGTCACTGTTGAGTAAGTGTTTGGCATACACAATTAATTTTCACTGTGTTGTCTTACACTCTATCATTTATAAGTCTGAGAGGCTAATGTAGAAGATGTCAGGGGCTTCGCGATCAATGGGGAGTACTGTGTGTGTCATGTGTTAGGGTTTTAGGTTGTAGTCTAATGTTCAAGGTAATTACCAGTTTAAAGTTCTAATAAGATGCATGTAACAGCATTTTCCTTTAAAACAAATGTTCCTCACACATATTCTCTCACTGATGGAGGCCATTAGCATATGGGTTTTACTTATTTCTTTCATCCATGTATTTAGTTTGGTGTTGCATTAATGGTGAAAATCCATGCCCCTGAATCCAGAGACACAGTTAATTTAGATGCAAAATATTAATATCATATTATTACAGTTATACTAAAGGTTCTAGGCAGGTCAGGATCTCTCTGGAAAGAGTAGGCAAGCAGATCCAGGATGATGTGAGAGGCATCTGAGGGTCCTCACTGCTGCTGAAATTCTATCACTAGTAGTTTGACTCTTAACCTCCAAAGTGAAATACCATCCCCCACATCTGGCTATGATGAACTGTGCAGGGAGATGCTGCTTTTGCCAAACTTGCCTGAATGGATGGGACTTGGCAATGACAGGAGAGGCTCAGTTCTAGAAGAGAAAGGCACTGTAGCAGGACAACCTGAACAGTTTGATCCCCTCTGAGGAACAAGAGATAGGAGAACCAGAGGAGTAGATGGGGAGTCTGCTCTTCCTTGTTTCCTGTCCTGAGCTTCAGTATTGCTGCCCAGAGCACGTAAAGCACATCAGGTACAACACCAAGTTCTTACTCTTGCTTTCTGCAATTCTTTATAATGATTTTAGCCAAATGTGATCTGTAAAGAAGCCTACTATAGTTAGGAGTGAACTAGCCATAACCCAAAATACTCATTTCTCTGACTTGTCTAGGAGACTTCACAAGCCTTCAGAGGTGACCTCGGAGGTTTATTTGTGTCTAATAAGATCCATCATCCATAATTGTATTTTTTGTGTGTTAATTACCACTGACAGTCCATTCCTTAGACTCCCAGTAGACATGGCCCAGAGAGTCAGGTGCTCATCATACCTGACTGAAATGTGTAGCCATTCAGGAAGACTATAGTTCAGTGGTCGTCCGATTTTGACTCTGGAAAAGAAGTGGTGAAATGAATCAGTTTTGTTCTCAGGGAAGAAAAAGGAACTGTCGGGTATCTCCTTTTTAAGCTCTGGAAGCTCAGACCTCGGGAACTGGAAGTCTGTAAGAGGAGAGTGGGCAAAATTCTTCCCCACTCCATGTTTATCATGGTACCAAGTTCCACAATAGCATGCCCCTCTGGAAAGGCACCAGTAGAAGTTTGGATGGTGATTACGTCTTCTTGAATACAACTATAATGGGCATTGCTATTTTGTTCATTTGTAGTCTGTACTCAGAACACGATGATATTCTGGCTGGTCCAAATATAGTTGCTGAGAACACAAAGTCTGTATTCAGAGTGCCAAGGTATTTTGGATAAATTTCTTAATCCTACCAAGCTTTCACTTCTTGATCTAAAAATGGAGATAATCATAGAACCTCTTTCACAGGATTTAGATTATTCTGTTGGGTTGATTCCTTAGACTACCTAAGGCATGGATGGTAAGGTTTCATTAGAGATCAGCCGTTATCAGGGGAAATAAAGAAGAATGGAAATAAGTTAGTTTCTGACCTATGCACATAAAGTCTACATCAGAATAACCTGGGATTTGGTTTTAGGTGGATTTGATGTTTTATAGTAGCAAACCTATCAATTGAATTTTTAAAAATATGCATATCAACACAGCATCTTTACTGAACATCTACTCGAATGCTGGATCTGAGAATCTGGGGATAAATAAGACATAATCCTCACATTCAAAGAGTTAATAAGCTGATGAAGGATATTCATAGGTAAGTCAGTAATCAAGCTACAATTTTAAAGAGGAGGTTACCTTAGAATCGGGTTGTATCAAGCATACCCATGACCCAGAAGAATAGGCTTGGAGGAGGCATCCTGGAGTGCAAGGGACATAACTTTGCTTTCACACCAACAAATTTGTTCAGCCCAATCTTCTCTTACTGGGTATTTACTACTTTTTTTGGTGGTTTATTTAATATTCTGCTATCCTAGGATAAAGAAAATTATTCCTCAACTTCAGTATTAGTCTGGTTGCCTCTTTCACCTTAACTTCAAAGCCAAACTACTTCAAAGTCAGTATTTACTCCTTGTACTCTTCAACCCAACCCACAATTAAGATTTTGATGAATTAATTTCATTTCAATTCTATTGTAAGCGTGTAGTTTACTTCAGAAGGTCTGGAAAATGAGTGTCATAAAGCGACTGCTTGTTATCATTCTGTTTATTATAATTGACTAGTTCTTTTCAACATTCCAGAAAATGCTATTTGCCTACTCGGTAATTTTGCTAGTAAATCATTTGGACCAAAAATTGTGTAATAATCAGACTAATATGACCCCAGAAATGTCTTGGAAAAAAATATATGGTTAAAAAAGGCTCTCTATCCTCCAAACTATCATTTTGTCTAATAATACAAAATTTACATGAAGACAATTTAGCAAATAGATTCAACCCTTGGGTAATAGGCCCACTGGAGGGGAGCAGTGATGTGGACAATTCAAAATCATGAGTAATCCTCAAATCAATTAAATGTCATTCTCAGATGTGTTTTTATTACTTACTGTATATTTAAACACAGTATTTAGGGATTTTACAGAAGAGCAAGCAAAATAATAAAATCCTTGGATCTTAGTTTGGTTAACCAACTTTCTTTCCATTAGCATATCTTCTCCCACTTCAGACTATGTGTTGAGG